CCCACATCCAGTGCTCCCTATATAATTTTTTCTGTTATTATTTTCAAAAGAAGTATCATCTAAAGATTGGAGTCTACCCTATTAATTTTACTATTTAATCTGTTTATTTTTCACTCTTACCCAATCAAATATCTTCCAAATTTTTAGAATAAGGCTTTTTATTTTCAATGCTATGTCTTCAGCACCAGAAACATATTGGCACATAGGAAGAGGCTGAATAACTATAAAATAAAATTATCTCAAACTTGACTTTAGAAATGAAGGAAAACATTCAGAATATAGAATTTTAACAAAGCTATAGAAATATAAAAATCACAGAGACAGTAGTTGAACTTGTGTCTCTTGCTTCTAAATCCAGTCTTTCCAATAAGTTGAATTGCCCATCTGTTAATCTTTTTTTATTTAAATGATTAAAAATGTATTTCTCAAGATGGTTGAAGACATCTCTAGTTAATGAAAGCAGTTGAAAATAAAACACAAATAGTTTTAAGTATTTTAACTTGTTTCCTCTAGAAGAGATTTCATAGTTACTAAGAACTCGAGTCATCTTTAGAAATCATTGTAAATTAAATTATAGAGCATTAAAATAGTGATTAAAAAGAAACACTTGAAATTTGCTGAAGTGACAGATGGAACATAATTTCCAGAAACGAGTTGTCAGTTCCCTAAAAGTGCAAAGTCTTTCTGTTTTATAAGTGCTAAATTGCTACTGAGGCTCTTAGAATGTAAAACTCAATAAGGAACAAATTTAAGACAAAGAGGTATAGATTTAGTAGAGAGCTTAAATAAATCAAATGTATTTTAAACATTTTATAAACAATGAAAAGAAAGAATTATGCATGTAATGCAATCTGCTATGCAAAATTTAAACTATGTGACTAAATTATATGTAAAATGAGCATATTTTGAAAGAAAATAGCAAATGCTATTCAGACAGTTACCAGTATGTAACTGCAAAGAGAGTATCCAATTCAAATTCTAGAAAAATATCTACTTGAAAAATAAGTATACCCCCCACAGCCTGCTAAATTGCACATTATCAATTACTTTTACAGTTTTGGAAAGTGACAGAAAGAAGACAATTAGAAAACAAAACTAATTTTAAACAGTAGCTTCCTTATTACATTTTCTGCATATAAATTTTAATTACATTATGATTGTAATTACTATCAGCTTTAAGAAATATCGCTTAGTAAATCAGAATCTACTTCTATGTTTAGCTAGCATATGCCTATAAGAATATTTAGTTTATATTATTGTCAGCCTCTTGGTTGAACAGAAATTTGTCAGGTTTTCAAATCTTGGTTTAATGAAAAATATTCAAATATCATGATTAAATTTAATATATAAAGTCAAGTTTTCATGACTCTGCAATAATATTATGACATTCTTAGTGAACATACTATTGGTGCATTAAAAGAACAGTGTTGTTTTTGTTGTTTCAATTACCACAAGAAATAATTTCACTATTGTCTTTTTTGGCTGACTGAGAAATGATACCAATATTTTAGTTATGAAATAAGTGGTAGAAGATTTGAGCCACCTCAATTTTGTGTGTGTTTTTTCCTGTAGTTAAAGAACTTGAAAAGCAAAGAGTTACTGAGAAATTAACAAATGAAGTAATACTTCTCATCTTTGGTGAGCAACAGTCATTGAAGAATATTTTGTGCAGTCCTCAGTGTGGGGTTCTAAGTAAGTGAACTGTCAGAGGCAGAGATAACAATAATATTTTTGGCATATTGAGATTATATGCAAAGGGAAATGCAAATATAAAGCCAAATTCCTCCTTACACAGTTCATGCCTGAATAAAGTTTTATGTATTTGACTCCAATCTATTTCTCTGTACCTATTTATTCAATTAACATTTGCATTTCCCTTTGCATATAACCTCAATAAGCCAAAAATTAAACCAGCATATTGAGTCAATGTATTAAAGCATTTGACATAGTTAAATGTATTTAAAGCATGTGATAACCATATTAAGTAGAAGTTATTTTACGTACTGTGTTTTCTCATAGAGATTGTTAATACTTTTACTCTAGATCACACTGATAGAATTACCTAGTGAAATCAGAAATTAAAATAAGAAATTTTAAAGCTACAAAGTTAAACAGCCCTACACCAAAATACCTTGAAACATTAAGATAAATATTCCCACAGTCAAAAGTTTTGAACATATTCCCACAGTCAAATATTCCCATAGTAAAAATTAATACTTTATATTAAAGAACAAAGGTAAATAAAAATATACTTTTCTTTGGAAACTCTCATTTTCTAATACTCTGCTTTGAGACCAGCAATTTGAAACTGTTATCATATTTTTAAATATTATTTCTAATACATTTAGGGATTTTCTATTCTATGCAGTAATTTAATTCCCAAATAATGCCAGACTATATTCTCATTGTACAAATTTACACACTGAATATAAGGCCAAAGTCCTCCACCTGAATAAAGTTTTATGCATTTGATTTCAATCTATTTCTCTATTTATTCAATTTTTACAGGCTTCTATGAAAATACATAATGTTGTTTTATGCATATGTATATTCGTATTTGAGATCCTATTTCAATATCTGTCTGGAATTCAATTTATCCTCTTTGTTGTTTTGTACTAACCAATTTGTCTTTTCATTCTAGCCATATATTCTGGTATATTTTTAAACTGCTGTGTTGCAGTTTATTTTTTGAGTCACCCAATTCTGTTATATTGCTCTTTATTTTTGTTCTTTTTTTCTCTACCACAAACAAAGCTACAATGTTTTCTTGTACATGCATTCTTTGCTTAATTCATTTATTTTAGTTATATAGTAAGAACTGTCTTTTCAATATAATGGTGTTTTTACATGGATAAGGTGAAATTACGCTCCAAATGTCGATATAACTTTTGTTCATGATAGTTGATATAATCACTCTTAAATGTTTTCCAAACCTTTCTATGTATTGTTAATGGTAATTATTTGAATGATACAGTTCTCTTTGTTTTTGCTTATTTGCATTTCTTTTTTTTTTTTTTAGATCAGTCACAAATAGGTGGGAGGAAAATAGCTTATTTTCATTTCTTATTAATAAAGCATGAGCTTCCTTTTAAAATATTTTGTAACCACGTTGCTCTTCTATATACCATCTATTCTTATGTTTCGCCTGCTTCCTTTGGGGACTTCTACTTTTTGTCTTATATAAATAGTATGTTGGGAGGCTAAGGCTGGCAGATTACCTGAGATCAGGAGTTCCAGGCCAGCCTGGCCAACATGGTGAAACCCCTTCTCTACTAAAAATTCAAAAATCAGCCAGGCGTAGTAGTGTACAACTGTAATCCCAGCTGCTCAGGAGGCTGAGACAGGAGAATTGCTTAAGCCCAGGAGACAGAGGTTGTAGTGAGCCAAGATTTTGTCACTGCACTCCAGCCTGGCCAACAGAGCAAAACTGTTTAAAAAAAAAAAAAAAAAAGAAAGAAAGAAAAAAAAAACAGAGAAATGGTCAATATATCCTTTATTCATTTATTTATTTTTCTTTTTGAGATGCATGTCCTTGAACTCCTGGGTTCAAGTAATTCTCCTGGCTCAGCCTCCAGAATAACTGGGACTACAAGTGCACATCCCTCTCACTTTTTTATCTTTTGCAGAGATAGGGTCTTGCTATGTTTCTCAGAGTTTCTCAAACTCTGGGCTTCAAGTGATCCTCCTGCCTCAACCCTCCCAATAGTTGGGTTTACAAGCATGATCTACTACACTGAGCAATTCATTCTTTTGTGTGTGGGGAGGGTGGGTGGGTGGTCGTGTGTGTGTGTGCGTGTGCACTCATGCATGTGTGTATGATATATTTCTTTTAGGTTTTCAGTAACATTTATTCTACTTGTATAACGTCTTTTGGAAATACAGAAGTATTGAATATTTGGTTTGGTATTTTTCTTTAAATGGACTATTCCTTATGACAGCAAGGATAATATGTATATAGAGTTTCTAGTGCTTATAATAGCCTCCCAAATTAAGCACATAAAATATAATTTTATGAATAAATGCATTAGCCTATGTTTTTATAATTTTATGAATTTGTCTAACATTAATATTTTTAACTTACTTGGATTTTATTTTTGCAGTTAATGTGAAGCAGAAATATTTTCCCCTATTGGATACTCAATCTTCTCATGCAATTTTATGAATAAAGAATCATAAATAATCATACAATTTTATAGCTTTGTAATACCACCCATCACATACATTTCATTTGTTAAAGACAAATTGCAGGAGAGAGTTAAACAGGCAAGGAAGACTTCAAGACTATTGCAATTTCAGTCAAGTCTACCCAAATCAGGAGAGAGAGAGAACCAAGTTCTTGTAGAAAAAAAAAATGCAGGAAAATCTTTAAGCACTGAACTGACTTAGTCAAAAAATAACTGGAGGACATTAAAGCAAAGTTTGGCCAATGCAATTAGGCCAATGTGCTTGTTAACCGGCGTTTATTGAAGTTATGCCCCTCCCTTCCCATAGAGCTAGGAAGATACAGGCTCTACTTTTCTTAAAGATTACATTTATAGAGGGATGACTCGCAGGTCCAAGGCATTGCTGGGTTGTAAAAGTGGCAAGAGGTTAGGAGATAATTTACATCTCAATGTAGCTGAGAAATCATTCACAATTATAAGTTTTCTAAAATAAGTGCTCTAAGAAATAGAGGGACAGGGGCTTAGAGTCAGGAAAAATCTTAGTTAAGCCAAAAGGAATATTAAGGCCTTCTTGTTTACGTTAGAATTATGATTTTTCTGGACCATATTGTGTCATATTAATAAATGTTTATAACTGAAGCATTCCTCATTTAATTCCTATTGCTTGCTAAGGCATTAATATTCATACAGTAAATACATATATGTGCTATCTCCTCTTTTTATTAAACTTTTTCTTTGGCAATTTTCTTGTCTATAAGAGTTTTTATCTCCAGCATGTTAATTTCTATGAAAGATTATGTTGAGATGATCATGAGTATAAAATAGATGGTCTCTTACCTACAAAAATGTCATTCTTCTTCTTTGCAACAAAACCACAATCTTTTCCAGAGCAATAGGATGCTCAACTAGAAAAAATAAAGCAAAACATTGGTTAGCATCAGGTAAAAAGGTGGACATTGACTATCTGTAAACAATATTTTAATGAGAATACTTGGGATAATTTTGCTTTCCTGATATAGATGCTATCGTTTCCTCACCATTATTTCATTACATTTCCCTTGCCAGGAAGGCAGGAGAAAAGCTGAAGTTGGAATAAACAATAGCAGCCAGTGTGAAACCATCCAAAGATTCACACCACTATATCTACATGTATATTGCTCCCAGCTATTAACCTACAAATTATAAAGTTTCCCATCAAAATTAAGTCCTTCTATATGTACACGAGATCCTAATTCCTTTCAGCTACACAGGAACACCATTCTGATAAATCTTTCCAGAAGAGGCAATCAAAATATGTATCTCTGAGAGCAGAGAGATGACTTTGAATAGAATGGAGGCAGATTTGCCCTGAGCCGTTCCCAGTTTGAAGAGACCCAAGATATTTTCCTTTCAGTCGTAAGTAGAAGAGCTCTATAATATTTTCCACTTTGCAACACTGAAGCTCCGTACTCACTACACACTAATTCTTCTCTCTCTATCCAGATCTCGGTAATTAACTTTCTATTTGTGCTTCTATAATTTTTATGACTTCACACACTTCATGTGAGTGGAATCATGCAGTATCTTTCCTTTGGTGACTTGCTTATTTCTCTTAGCTTAATGACCTTGAGAGTCACTGTATTATAGAATGAGTCAAGATTTTATTCTCTTTAAAGACTGCATACTATTTCATTATATATACGTAACACGTTTTTAAACCCATTCATTCGTCAATGGAAATTTGAGTTTCTCTTTTACTTCTTGGCTGTTGTGAATAACATGATAGTAGACAAGAGTATGCAAATACTGTTGGCGGACTTTGAGTCTGAGATTCTTGGCCTTGCTGGCTTCAAGGAATGAAGGAGAGGGCCCTGGCGCCGCCAGAGTGTTACAGCTTGAATAGAGTTTGCGGACCAACAGAGTGAGCAAGGATGCAGTTTATCAAGCAGAGCAAAGTGCAGCTTCCCACCCAAAAATGTTAGGGTTCTAGGTAAAAGAGCAATACTCCCAGGTGTGGGAAATGTTTTGAAGGAAATAGTCTGGAGGAAGTTATACCTCAACTATCTGGAACAGGAGGCACGGGTCTGAAGAGCTGGGCGACGCTGGCAGGGGCTGCTGTAGTTTAGGGATTTCACACAAAGCCGTAAACTCGACCAGAGATGTCCGGAAGTTCAGAACTGGAGTGTTTGCCCCCTATCCTGCCCTTGGCTTGATCCAGAGAAAGCGGAGAGAGCTACAACTGGTTCTAGGCAAACCAACGTTCCTAGCCCCAAAAGGGCTGTGGGTTGTTAAGAGAGCCCTTTGCCAGAAAGCCCAACACCTGTGTCTTTAGTCCCGCGGCTCACAGGTGCCCGGTGTTTTGTCTCCAAGTTGATTATGATGGAAAAACAGGATGGAGTTAGCAAGCGAAAGCGGCAGGACTTTACTCACCGCGTTGGAGTCTTTGGCAATAATGAGGGGCTCGGCTGGCTTGCCCAAGAAGGTGGGCGGATGTTGAGTCCGAGGTTCTTGGACTCGCGGGCTTCAGAGAATGAAGGAGCTGGCCCTGATGCCCTGGTAAGCGTAACAGGGCGGACAGAATTCATGGACAAAGAGTGAGCAACGACGCAGTTTAGTAGGCAGAGCAGAGTCCAGCTTCCGCATAAGGGAAGGGGACCCGGAAGGGCTACTGCTGCTGCTGACCTGTAAGGCTGGAGTTTATATTCTTTTCCTTATTTCCTCCCCTCTCCCTTTTTTGTTCAATGAGAGGTGTTTGTTTTTCAATCCTCCCCTGAGTAACTTATTTTCAATCTTTTGTTGGATTGGCCCAGGGCTTAAGGCCCTGAGTCATTGTGCCAGTCCATTTTGCGGCCGGGTGGGCTGGGAAGCCTCTGTACAGAAATGCTCCCATTCTGACCCCAGAAGTATCTTTTCTTTTAGTCTGATCCCTCAATCTGCTTTGAATTACTTTTGATATATACCAAGCAGTAGCGCTGCCGGGTAGATTCTACTAGTGGGGATATATCCAAATGGTAATTCTATTTTTAATTTTTAGAGGCACCTCAATAGTGTTTTCTACAATGGCACTACATTTTACATTCCCACCAAAGGTACATAAGGGATCCAACTTCTACACATTCTTTCCCAAGCTTTATTATTTTCTATTTTTTTTATAGTGCCCGTCTTTATGAGTGTAAGGTAATACCTCACTGTGGTTTGTGGTTTTGGAATTGCTTTTCTAATGATTAGTAATGTTGAACATCTTTTCATGTGCTTATTGGCCATTTGTTTATGTTTTTTGGAGAAATGTACATTTAAGTTTATATAGTTTGGCTCGGTGTCCCATCCATATTTCATCCTGCAGCTCCCATAATTCCACATGCTGTGGGAGGGACCCAGTGGGAGATGATTGAATCATGGGGGCAGGTCTTTCCCATGCTGTTCTCCATGACAGTGAATGGGTATCATGAGATCCATTTTAAAAACAGGTGTTTCTCTACACATGCTCTCTTCTTGACAGCTGTTGTCCACATAAGATGTGACTTGCTCCTCCTTGCCTTCCACCTTGATTGTGAGGCCTCCCCAGCCATGTAGAACTGTAAGTCCAGTAAACCTCTTTTTCTTGTAAATTGCCTAGTCTCAGGTATGTCTTTATTAGCAGCATGAAAATGGACTAATACAGAAAAGCCTTTGATCATTTTTAATTAGGTTGTTGTTTTTAAGTTGTAGTAATTCCTTATATATATTCCTTATGTATGTATGTATATATATATAGATAGATAGATAGATGTATTTTTTTTTTTTTTGAGACGGAGTTTCGCTCTTGTTACCCAGGCTGGAGTGCAATGGCGCGATCTCGGCTCAATGCAACCTCTACCTCCTGGGTTCAGGCAATTCTCCTGCCTCAGCCTCCTGAGTAGCTGGGATTACAGGCACGTGCCACCGTGCCCAGCTAATTTTTTGTATTTTTAGTAAAGACGGGGTTTCACCATGTTGACCAGGATGGTCTCGATCTCTTGACCTCGTGATCCACCCGCCTCGGCCTCCCAAAGTGCTGGGATTACAGGCGTGAGTCACCACGCCCGGCCTTCCTTAAATATTTTTACCACATATATGATTTGCAACTTCTTCCTTCCATTGCATTGATTGCCTTTTCCTTATGATAACTGCCCCCAATTCATTCTTTTCACTTTTTTCCAGATCACCTTATTCAATATGCACTACATTTAGGATTCTTTTGCTGGTTTCTCTGCTTCTGTGCTAATTTATACTGTTGAGCTCTTCCGGGGCTCAGTCCTTGGTCCTCTTTTCTATCTGCATATATTCCTTAGAGGATAAATTTCAGTATCATTACATTAACTCACATCTGTGTATGATTATGATCTCAAATTACATCTTCAGAATGGACATGTTCAGGCCTGTAGATGCACTTTCCCACATAACTATTAATAACGAGCTACTGATCCACCCATTTTTCTATCAGCCACTTACCAATCTCAGTTGATAACAACTGTGTTCTTCAAACTGACACTCAAAAACTTGTAGTTACTGAGATTTCTAGCTTTCATTTATAGCCCCATATCTCCTGTTCAAGAGAATTCTATTTATCTTCAAAATATGTTTATACTAAGATTAATGCAAGAGAGATATAAAATAAACCTGAGACATTAATGACTTCGTTGAGTAGCTTCACCAAGCCATGAAGGTTCTGACCAGAAATTTTGAATGAGTAAAATAGATCCAGATGTTAATATGTTTCTGTGCACACATGTATATTATATGCCATTGATATGGTTCGGCTGTGTCCTCACCAAAATCTCACCTTGAATTGTTGTTCTCATAATACCTATGTGTCATGGGAGGGACAAAGTGGGAGGTAATTGAATTATGGCAGCGGTTACCTTCATGCTGTTCTTCTGATAGTAAGTTCTCATGAGATCCGATGATTTTACAAGGGGCTTTCTCCTTTGCTTGGCTTGCGTTCTCCTTCCTGAGAACATGTGAAAAAGGACATGTTTGCTTCCCCTTCTGTCATGGTTGTAAGTTTCCTGGGTCCTCCCCAGCCATGCTGAACTGTGAGTCAATCAAACCTCTTTCCTTTATGAACTCTCCAGTCTCTGGAATGTCTTTATTAGCAGTGTGAGAATGGGCTAATACAGATATCAAATCCAGTTTTAACTACTACAGAGAATTGTCATCTGTACAATATTCAGTGCAAATTTTCATTAACTTCTTATGTCATGTTGTCCTTTAGTAACATATACGCTTTTCTCTATGTTCTAGTACAAATCTTATAAAAATTATCCCTTGAAATCTTATAAACATTGTGACTGTAAATATATATTGTGTTCACTCTATTTTTTCTGTTAGATTTTAAGTAGTTAATAGTATACTGGTAGTATACTAATTGTTTTGCTTTTATCTTTCAGCATAATATTAAATAGAAACGTGATAGCATGTTTTTTATATATATTTTTTATAAATGTAGGGGTATAAGTTCAGTTTTCTGACATGCATAAATGAATTGTGTACATTGTTTTCCGTAAGTAATTTCTTTGCCCTCCACCCTTTTCCACCATCTCACACTTTCAAGTCTCCAGTGTATTATATTCCATACTTTATGTCCATGTGTACATATTATTTAGCTCCCACCTGTTAGTAAGAACATGCAGTATTTGACTGTTTCTGAGTTATTTCACTTAAGATAATTGACCTCCTGTTCCATCCATATTCTCCAAAGATCTGATTTTATTCTTGTTTATGGCTTAGAAGTATTCTATTATATACATATATACCAATTATTCTTTATCCAATCATCCACTGATGAACACTTTGGTTTAGTTCATACCATTGGTACTATAAATAGTGCTACTATAAACATACTAGTGCAGGTATCTTTTTGACATAATAACTCAGTTTCCTTTGGATAGTTACCCAGTAATAGCATTGCTGGTTTGAATGGTAGATCTATTTTTAATTCTTTGAAAAATCTTCATACTGTTTCCCAGAGAGGTTGTACTAATTACATTCTCCCAGATACACCATCTCTTAGGCTACAAAACAAGTCTCAATAAATTTTAAAAACTCAAAATTATACCAAGTATTTTATCAGACTACAGCAAAATAAAACTAGAAATTAATTTCAAGAGGAACTCTTGAAAATATACAAATACATATAGTTTAAACAAGGTATTCCTGAATTACCTTTAAGTCAAAAACAAAATTCAGATAGAAATTTCTTAAAAAATTAAGTAATGAAGATAAAAACATAACATAGCAGAACCTCTGGGATACAGCAAAAGCAGTATATATGTTATTTAATTTCAAAGATATTAAGTCTGATATTAATCATAATGCTTTGTGGATCAATACATCATCAAATTAAGGTTTTTTTTTTACTACGTAGTTGTGTAATATTTTGTTTTCTTTAATTAATTTGGAATATTTAAATTAAGTAGTTTTTTTTTTATTATTAGCTGGGTGTGGTGGATTGCACCTGTAGTTCCAGCTACTTGGGAGGCTGCAACAGGAGAATTGCTTGTACCCAGGCAGCAGAAATTGTAGTGAGCTGAGATCTCACCACTGCACTTCAGCCTGAGAGACAGAGCGAGACTCCATCTCAAAAAAAAAAGAAAAAAAAAAGAATCTTTTTCTTTGTCATATGAACACTGAGAAGTCACTAAAGAGTTTCTATTTGAAAAACAGAAAAATTAGCTGGGCATGGTGTTGCATGCCTGTGGTCCCAGCTACTCTAGGGGTTGAGGCAGGAAAATCCCTTAAGCTGAGTAGGTCGAGACTGCAGTGAGCCATGTTCATACCACTCTACTCCAGCCTGGGTGACAGAAGGAGACTTTGTCTCAAAAATTTTTTTTAAAGCATTTAGGTTTGTGAGTGATATAATCAAGAATTATGTGCCTGGATGGATTAGTTTATTATTATTATTATTATTATTGAAAGAGAAAGAAAAAGGGAAAAAGAGGAAAAAAAGAGGGAAAAAGAGAAAAAGAGGGAAAAAGAAATATTACTTCATTCCTAAAATAGGTATCAATAATGGCCGATCAATATTTTGTGTGTTTAAAGTGGATAATGTATATTTTGTGTGTTTAAAATGGAGAGCTCTATTGAGTTTATTGTTCTGGATCTGAGTTCAAGTCCTGGATATCATTATCAATTTTCTGTCTCGTTGAATCTAAATCTCATTATGGGTCTTATGTATCTGGGTGTTAAGATCTCTTATTATTACATTAATCCTTTTACCCTTGTATCCTTGTAGCTTTAAAATCTATTTTATTAATTATAAGAATTGCAACTCCTGCTTTTTATTTATTTATTTTTGCTCTCCATTTGGTTGGTAAGTTTTTTTCCAATCCTTTATTTTGAGTCTTTGTATATTTTTAGATATACCGTTAGATTTTGTCTGTATCTTTTGATTGGGGGATTTAGTTGATTTAAATTTAGGGTTACTGTCATTTGATATTAACTGGCTTATCCTTTCGTTGATGTAAATTCTTCTTTATGTTAATGCTCTTTACTTTTTGGTGTATTTTTAGAAAGGCTCATACTGGTTGTTTCTTTCTATATATAATGCTTCTTTTAGAAGTTCTTGTAAAGCAGGCCTGGTGGTAATAAAATCTCTGAGTACTTGCTTGTTCCTAAAAGATTTTATTTTTCCTTCAATTGTAAAGCTTAAATTTGCAGGATATGAAATTCTGGGCTGAAAGTTCTGTTCTTTAAGTATATTGAATATTGGCCCCCCACTCTCTTCTAGCTTGTAGGGTTTCCGCTGAGAGATCTGCTGTAAGCCTGATAGGCTTCCCTTTATGGGTAACCTGATCTTTCCCTCTAGCTGCCCTTAATATTTTCTCCTTTGTTTCGATCCTAGTGAATCTAACGATTATGTGCCTTGGGGTTGGTCTTCTTGAGGAATATCTTTGTGGTGTTCTCTGTATTGCCTGGGGTTGAATAGTGTCCTGCTTTGCTGAGTTGGGAAAATTTTCCTGGATAATGTCCTGAAAAGTATTTTCCAGCTTGAATTCATTCTCTCCATCACATTCAGGTACACCAATCAAACGTATATTAGGTCTTTTCACATAGTCCCATGTTTCTTGGAGACTTTGCTCGTTCCTTTTTATCCTTTTTTCTCTATTCTTGTCTTGTCGTTTTATTTCATTAAGTTGGTCTTCAACCTCTAATATCCTTTCTTCTGCTTGATCCATTCGGCTATTTAAGCTTGTACATATTTCACTAAATTCTCATGTTGTATTTTTCAACTCCATAAGTTCATTTGTATTCCTCTCTATATGGTCTATTCTTTTCATCATTTCATCGAACCTTTTTTCAGAGTTCTTAGTTTCTTTACATTGGGTTAGAACAAGTTCCTTTAACTCCCAGAAGTTTCTTATCATCCACCTTTTAAAGCCTACTTCAGATAATGGAACACAGTCCTTTTCCATTAGGACTTGTTCTGTTGCTGATGAGTCCTTTTCCATCAGGGCTTGTTCCATTGCTGATGAGTCCTTTTCCATCAGGGCTTGTTCCATTGCTGATGAGTCCTTTTCCATCAGGGCTTGTTCCGTTGCTGATGGGTTCTAATTTTGG